TATTAGCTGGAAAGAAACTTTGAATGTTTGGTTAGTATTTTTCTTCAAAAGTACCATTTTATATTTTATAAAATTTTCAATTATGTCTGGAATATCCAAGTCATATCGCTGTTGGTCCTCAATCGATAAATTATTCAGATCATATTTTATATTTCTGGATTCCATATAATCCGTAATCAAAGGAATATTTGCCAGGGTATGCACACAACTATAGCTAGTTGTTTTATAAGTTTGTGTACACCATAATAATATTTGATATTGAAGTGAGTTAAATTTGTGTATATACTTTTTACTTATATATTTATACCAGACCTCAGTTCCATAAGTGAGTATCGGTCTAAATATTGTTTTGAATAAAATGAGTCTTTTCTGGGTGCTTAGTCCCCAAGATTTGCCACATATCAAAAAAGTAAATTTTTTAGTCTTTGAGTTCTATTTAGTATATTGTTCAAATGAGGATTGAAAATTTAATTTATTCTTCCTTCTATAGTTTGCAAAGGTAATTCCCAAAATTTTTATTTCTTGAACAGGCGTAATAATATTATTTTTAAATTTAATTTCAAATTTATCTTTGTTATGAAAATGTTAAATACTAGTTTTATCAAGACTTTTAGTTTGTTTTCTGTACACCAGTCGGGAGAGACATAATTTCTCCCACATGTAAGAAACATAAGGTAACATGACCAAATCCAAATTTATAAATAGTAAGTGATGTTTTATAGTAACAATACTTTTACCCTAAATGACACAATTTTTTAATTTGGATTTGGTCTTATTACCATGTGTTTCTAACTTATAATCCAAATTATACCTTTTCACAGAGAGAGAAATAAATAAATAAAAAAACTATGTTGAGGGGATTAGAAGGACTATTTGCCAATTGGGTATCCATATCATAATGTCTAAAGATGGAGGTTTGGGTAGAGTCAAGGTTAATTTCTTTTCTGAGGTCTTTTCTTATCTTGACTGATCCTGTCATTCACCAATGGTAGGTTGGGGCGGGGGGGTTGCTGATTTCCCAATCTCCATATTTCTTCCCCGCCCCTCTTGTTGCTGCAGCCTCCCTCCTTAACATTCTGATGAAGCCAAGTCTTGCTATGTATATGAATGTTGTCCAGCAAAGGAAATAGATAATACCATGGGGAATTTCAGTTTTTATCATGGTTTTATAGTGTACCTGATACATTCTTTCTTATCATATCAGGGTATCAAGCTTGTAGAGTTGAGACTTTTGATAGTGTCTGCTGGGGATGAGTAGAGCTCATCAATGGATGAGCCAATACAGTCAATAATGTGTTTTGGGGTTGCAGGTTGAGAATTGCACTTAGTACATGGTGGGAAAACCTTGCAACCATTCTGGAAAGTCATTGTCCATAGATGACCAGACTTAAGTCTGGAAATAAGAAACTGTTGTTTTCTTGTGAGGACAGAACCCGTGCTTGTCCCTCCTGCTCTGTACTAGTCATGTGCAGCATTAGATCTCCATTTCTGCAGGCATTCGGTTTTGATGGTAGGGAGGAGGTCTCTTACCTGACACAGTAAAGAATTGATTTTCTGCTGATCAAATTATTGGAAAAATATAATTTTTGTACGATTTTTTCAATATGTTATGCATTTTAGGTAGTAGCACATGGAGCTCTTGTATCTGAACTGACAGCTCATTTAGGAGATGGAAAACTAGATACAAGAAAATAATCCAAATAATTTAATAGTGTGTGACGTTTCAGTAACAGCATTGTTACCATCATCAGACAAAAGGATTAGGTCTTATTTTCTTGTATCTATAACCTATAATCCAAATTGTGCTTTATCAGAGATGGAAAACTAGGACTTCAAACCAAGGACACATGAGGCTCTTTTGAATCACAAACCTGTAGTTGGTTCTAGGGGCCCTTATACACTTTCAGTCCTTAAGTCACAATACAGAAATCTGTCTTGCACAAGGGCCATTCCATGTGATGGAAAAATTCACTTGAGATGGCACTGAAATTATAATGAATGTATGTATAGGAGATTCAATTAAAGAGAACAAAATCTTTAAAATATATATTTTTAAATTTAAAAAATTAAACATTTTTAAAAAGGATTATCCCAGATGCCATTTTTAGAAGCCACAACAACCTGTTCAATGTTTCCACTTAATCTTGTAGTCTCACTTACAGTCTTCAACTTCTTTACTTCAACATCCAAAGGATTGGGAAGTCTGTGTTGATTGATAGTCCTTATATTAAAGTTAACGCAGATTGGGATTTAAAGAACTGATGAATTAAGTAAGTGTTGAATTAAGGAATAGTGTATATATAATTATGAATTTTGCTCTATTTTCATAATGTGTAGATATGTGTGGAACTTATATATAGTCACAAACCCCTATCCGCCAAGATTATCATGGACTGTACCTTGTTAGCTTGGAAATAAAACAAAAATATCCTCCTTCTTCCTTTCTTATCTCCACTCAATCATTAGGGTATCAAGTTGTGATCCTTGATGGTATTTGACAACCATCATGACTGGGTGAAGTAGAATGCATCTGCCTTTGTCATTAAGACTGGGAGCACTACTCAGTGGCAGGCCGACTTAGCTCCAAAAGAAATGGCCGCCTCTGACATGAGAAACAGACGCCATGTGCAGCTGCTCCTAACACGGAGTACAAACACTGCTCATCCTGTATTCCTAGATTAGGAGCCCTTACAGGGTACTATCAGCCGGGCCAGCTGAACCCAGGTTTTTTAGCGAGCTTGTTACTGCTCCCCCTCCTCCTTTTTCATCCGGGCTTGGGACCGGCAAAGGCGGAGTTACAAAAATATAAAGTGTTCTAAAACCCAGGTTGACCTATAGTTTGGTGTATTTTACGGCAGTTTTCATGGAAGAAAGAAGCAGGATGTGTCATCTCATTACAGAGGCCAATCTCAGCTAATTAGGAGAGAAGACAACAAATTTGCATAACTGTTAGAGACATCCTGTCCTCGCCATTTTTTTTTTCTTTGACATGGAAAGTATCCATCAGAAGTGCACTCAAGCTATTCAGAATAGAATTTGATCCAAGTTTCTGGATAATTTTGGTATTTAAACCTTTCTTAATTATTGTTGCTTAAAAATGATCTCTCAATCTTTGTTGTTTCTAACTACAGTGGCACCTCGTTATAACAGCCACTTTTATAGCAGCAACATGGTTATAACACAATAATTCTCTACAAGTTTAAAGTTCCAATTGTTTTAACCATGGTTCCAAGCAAGGTTAGACTTCCATTAGAAACTGCCACATGGCTCTCTTCTTGTAAGTGCAAAAGTCAAACTGCATTTCACATGTGTAGACATGTGGTACACTTACAGTAAAAGCATTTGCTAGCTACCCACCATAACTATCATAGTCTGTACTGCGTGTGCTTGGGATAAATAAATAAAAAAATAAAAAAATATGGCTCTCTTTGGAGAGAGAGGTTAGATTAGTTCAGTTTTCTAAATGTGGCAACTAATCAGTACAAAGTTGCTCATGGAAAATTCTATATACAGTTACGAGCGTCATTCTTCATCTCTGTCACCGTTTGCTTTTTTTTTGGAATGGCGCCCTCCTATTGGTCGGCTACGATCACGCCACCTTTGCCCCCCCCCCCCCACTCGCTTTTTCGTTTTTGTAACCATTGTGTTGGAGCGGGTCGCTCATTAAATAAATGCATATATTAGTTAATAACCAAATGGAATCCTCTCTTTCTTTTTCCCAGTAAGAGACGCCTACGGAAGCCAACAGTACATAGACAGATAAAGCACATAGGCTATAGTTATTAACTAACATATGCATTTATATAAGGCGCCAATTTATAATTGTAACAAATAGTATTTGAATCAAAACATTCAATCGGGTAAAACACGGGCGTTGCCCGGGTCATTCGGCTAGTATGATTATATTGTTGAGTGTCCCTATATATAACATCACTTAGGACCAAGCTTATATGCTATTATAACACTGAGTTGTTGTTATAACCATAGTTAAAACAATTGGACCTTAAAACAAAGGACTTTGGAATTATTATGTCAAATTGCTGTTATATAAGAAAGGCTGTCATAACAATACTTCACTCTTATTAAAATAAAAACATAAAGCCTCCAGGGAAAAGTTTCTTTTCTTTTAAAAACAATTTTTATTTAAAAAATATCTCGAGCTTTCGGGCAAGTACGCCCTTCTACGGGAGAAAATGCTTTATATGAATAATACGCCAATAAAATATTATTTAAAATTAAATAAAGTCCATTCACTGTTTACATTTGTTTTAAGGCATGATCAACGCGGGCTTCTGTTGCGCGTGCTTCGCTTGAGGGTTATGGGCTGGGCTCAGGGAATATAATGTTATAAATTTCCGGAATATCTATTCTTCTGTTAATGCTATTGTTCTTTCCCGTAGAAGGGCGTACTTGCCCGAAAGCTCGAGATATTTTTAAAATAAAAATTGTTTTTAAAAGAAACTTTTCCCTGGAGGCTTTATGTTTTTATTTTAATATTGATTCATGGGATTATTTTATCGAATTGAATACTTCACTCTATTCCCTAATTTCCATCTAATACCTTTTTACATAATACAGCCCTCTCTCTATATGATGATGGTTTTTTTTTCTTTCTTATCCTCAAATTTTGTGTAAAAAGTTTTGTTTATCTTTATTTCACAGGCTTTCCCCAATAGATAACTTTTTATGAAAAATAATAAATGTGAAAAAATAATAGAAATGTGGTATTGTATTGGGATAAGGTTCATAAATTAAAAAAGAAAAAAAGGTATCTCCTTATCGTGCAACTGAAAGTTGCTGATGGCTTGCGCCATCTATCGGAATAAATATCAACTATTCGTTGATTTTTAATTATTCCAGAATTGGTCAAATACCCATTCTTGATGAATCAAGAAAAGCTAAACACATCTACTTATATAATTGCCTTATTCTGTCTGTGTGAAGTTCACTGTGTGAAGTTCACGGATAGATTTTGGTCAGAATGGATAAAATAAAAAAAGTGTCAAGGGATGGGAATCAAAACCACGACCTTCCGCTTACCGGGCAGATGCCATGACCACTAGGCTACCCTGGACATATTTTTCCGTTCATAAAGTTAATTTAGTAGGTGAAATGCAAAAAAAAAAATCGACATGAGGAAATCTTTATAAAATTCACATTTTTATTTTTTCAAGACACACACAGTTTGGGGCGGGACGTTTCACAAGAGAGACACCCATGGCACCAATTTATAATTGTAACAAATAGTATTTGAATTAAAACGTTTTTAAAATATATACACACTCGGGTAAAACCCGGGCGTTGCCCGGGCCATTCGTCTAGTAATAAATGATTGGCTGGAGCCTATAATAACTCAACATTTAGTTAATATTTATTCCAATAGATATCACACCTAAATGCCCAGAATAATGTTTATTTTGCCATCTCTTTCTCCCATCTTAATCTCATTTTACATTTTAGTTTACCTAAATAAAAAAAAATACTACCTACACTTTATTGATAAAAGAGAAAATAAAGCAAATATTTCCCATGAACAAACTACCCACCCTCCTTTGTAAAATAAAAAAGAAAGATAACCCAACCTCTAATGAAAGACCACTTTCCAAGACACCAGTATGGTCAGTCTTTTAATTGAAAGTGAATGTTTTGGATTAGGTCTTATTTTCTTGTATCTATAATCCAAATTATGTTTTATCAATTGAAAGTGAAGTTATAAGGGGGAGTTATGTTATTGGAAGGCTGGGGTTGTATAAGTGGAAACCAAAGTAGGAAAAAATAATTGATGCTTTTTTTTTGAGCCTAGAGACTCAAGAATGCTAAGGAGATAGAATCAATGGCTTCTTGTAACATGAGATCACCACTGACCCAATTGGTGAGACATATTGCCTCCTGATCTGACATCTTTTCTATCCCCCTTTCCTAATATTACATAAGGGGTTTCCTATAAATAACTGACCCACATATTAGAATTACATACATACAGTCATTAATTCAATACCTCAGACATTTTTGGTTAAAGTCACAATGTTGAATTATAGCTGGTTAAAATAATAAATTGGCTGAAATTTGGATTTGAAAGATATTGAATTCTAGTTATTTAAATTAATGTGATGGAGGTGAATATTTGCCCAACAATTATTGTTTTTAAAACGCCAAACAATGTGGAAAAAATAGTACAAAAGTGTACTGGGATCAGGTGTATAAATTGACATCTCCTGATTGTGCAACTAAAAGTTGGAATAAATATCAACTATTTCCATTTGTTGGAATAAATATCAACTATTTCCATTTGTTGGACTAAATATCAACTATTTCCATTTGTTGGAATAAATATCAACTATTTCCATTTGTTGGAATAAATATCAACTATTTCCATTTGTTGGAATAAATATCAACTATTTCCATTTGTTGGAATAAATATCAACTATTTCCATTTGTTGGAATAAATATCAACTATTTCCATTTGTTGGAATAAATATCAACTATTTCCATTTGTTGGAATAAATATCAACTACTTCCATTTGTTGGAATAAATATCAACTATTTCCATTTGTTGGAATAAATATCAACTATTTCCATTTGTTGGAATAAATATCAACTATTTCCATTTGTTGGAATAAATATCAACTATTTCCATTTGTTGGAATAAATATCAACTGTTTCCATTTGTTGGAATAAATATCAATTATTTCCATTTGTTGGAATAAATATCATCTGTTTCCATTTGTTGGAATAAATATCAACTATTTCCATTTGTTGGAATAAATATCAACTACTTCCATTTGTTGGAATAAATATCAACTATTTCCATTTGTTGGAATAAATATCAACTATTTCCATTTGTTGGAATAAATATCTACTATTTCCATTTGTTGGAATAAATATAAACTATTTCCATTTGTTGGAATAAATCTCAACTATTTCCATTTGTTTGAATAAATATCAATTATTTCCATTTGTTGGAATAAATATCAACTATTTCCATTTGTTGGAATAAATATCAACTATTTCCATTTGTTGGAATAAATATCAACTATTTCCATTTGTTGGAATAAATATCAACTATTTCCATTTGTTGGAATAAATATCAACTATTTCCATTTGTTGGAATAAATATCAACTATTTCCATTTGTTGGAATAAATATCAACTATTTCCATTTGTTGGAATAAATATCAACTATTTCCATTTGTTGGAATAAATCTCAACTATTTCCATTTGTTGGAATAAATATCAACTATTTCCATTTGTTGGAATAAATATCAACTATTTCCATTTGTTGGAATAAATATCAACTATTTCCATTTGTTGGAATAAATATCAACTATTGGTTAGTTTTTCTAGATTAATCAAGCATAGGTATTTGTCCAATTCTTTAATAATTAAAAATCAACGGATAGTTGATATTTATTCCGACAGATGGCGCAAGCCATCAGCAGCTTTTAGTTGCACGATCAGGAGATGTATTTTTCTTAATTATGGTTTAACAAAAAAAAAAGAGAATGTTATTTATCATTATTACTAATAGTATAGTATTAGATAGGGATTTTCATTAATATATTGTATCATTTTATAAATATAGAATATGCAAAGTAGTTTATTTATTGAGCAAAATCAGAACCAATTAAACCTAAAATACAGTGGTACCTCGACATACGAGCGCCCCAACATACGAGTTTTTCGAGATACGAGCCGACGAGCAAGTGATTTTTTGCTTTGAGTTACGAGTGAAATTCGAGATACGAGTTCGGTTCGGTAGTGTTGGAGATATTAATCTGTGATTTTAAATGGGAATTTTGTATGGGGAAATTTGCTTCGAGATACGAGTAATTCAAGATACGAGCAAGGTTGCGGAACGAATTAAACTCGTATGTCGAGGTACCAATGTATAGCTTAAACCGGAGTTTGTTAGAATCGATACAAAATAAATACGTTGTTATGTCTTGACAAAGCATAGTTCAGCCAACTGAAATATCGGCAAATACATATTTTTTTCAATCCACTATATGGCTTTTTATCATGGAGGTTGTTCTACTGTATTGTAGAAACAGGTTGATATATATATTCTTTCAGAAATATATTTTATATGTATAGATGGCGCGTTATAGCTTTGTGTTAATTTATTCCTAGTTGGCCTTGTCTTTATAGTTTGCTGAAGAACATTGCTCGAAGCAAATATTTGAATGTAATTCTACTGTCCTAGAAGCTTATGTCCATAGTTTACTTCAAAACCAGTTCTAAGATTCCATCCTTCAGTGTAGCATATAAAAGCAGAATGATCCAATACAGTATTAGAGCTCTTGAGAAGCGGTCTGGTGGATTAAATTGGCGAAACCGCTGGGAGGGTTCACTACTGATGAGCCAAGCCCTCCCAATATATTTTTCATCGCAGTAAGGACAGTAGAAGTTCGTTTTATGTATAAAAGAAACATTCGCCCTTTTAAATCCTTTTATTTTATATGTATAAATGGCGCGTTATTGCTTTGTGTTAAAGTGAAGGTGGTGTGACAGTTCATTGTCATCAAGTACATCCTGTTCTGGGTCTGGCTCCTGATGCTCATCTGTATGGTGGTCTTGACCTTTGTGATGTCCCTCTGGTGGGGCATGTGCAACAACCTCAAGTACGAGCCCAACCCTGACAATCGCTGCGTGGACCTCAGACAATTCCGTAAGTACACTCACTTCTCTTGATTAAATCTCTTTTTTTTGTCTGGTTGGAGAGTTTATACGGTAGATCATCCATGAGAAGCACTCATGCTAGAAGACACCTCTCTATTAAGGACTGTTTACATAGCCAAAATTACCATTTTTACTAATTAACAACTCTTGAGTAAGAAGACACATCTTTGTAAAGGGCACTTTGGCTCTGCAACTAGGTGTCAGAGAGAGGTAGTTCTTCTGTGTGTATATGAGATTCTGGAATGCACTCAATAGTGGAGACACAGAGAAGAATGCAGGAACCAAGATCAGTTTAAATTTATCCACATACTAGACGAATGGCCCGGGCAACGCCCGGGTTTTACCCGAGTGCGAATACACCTTGCTTCCTAGGGTTGTCGGCGCCCGTTGACTCCCGGCGAGCAAGAGACTGCTCCCGTCAGCTGCCGGCGTGCGAGTGCCTTCCCGGCGCATGCGCGCGCCCGTTGACTCCCGGCGAGCAAGCGACTGCTCCCGTCGGCTCCCGGCGTGCGAGTGGCTTCCCGGCGCATGCGCGCGCACAGGGAAGCCACGTGTCGCTGGCGGCCAATGGGCTCGCCCCGCCATCAGTTCCACCGCGTTCTAGATGCGCTATTTAGAATAATTTGAATATATAGTTTTAATAATTGATTTATATATATTTTAAAATAGCCTATCGTCATCCTCGTTATTTTTTACCTATGTATGGAAATTTTGGTTTGAATTAGTGAACTACTGCGAATTTGTATACCGGACATACAAACCAACCAACCAACCAACAGACAAACATACAAACATTCATTTTTATATATATAGATATAACAAGGGGGAATTATTTTTTTAAATAATAATTTTTTAAAAATGATTTCATCTTTTTTCTGTTTTAAGCTTTACCATCTTGAATCTCCCATACTTATTTTATTTCTTATCCTGAAAAGCAAGCAATTTTAAGTTGTTCATGCACATTTTATAAAATACATAAATTTGTCTGACAAATATTTTCACAGTAACCAAATACAGTAGAACTACCTCTCTGTAAAGGACGACACCTAGTGCAGAGCTTAAGTATCTCTTAGGGAGAGTGGTCTCTTAACAGAGAGTAGATAATTGCCAAAAAATGGTAAAAATTCCTTTGTAGAAAGGTGTTTTCTAGTGGGATGTCTACTCACAGAGGTTCAACCGTATTTTATAGTGATTTTCCAAATGTTTTGATAATTCATCAACACCTAGAGGGATGAGCAGGGAGTCTGTGAGCTATTGGGAACATTTTGATGCAAGAACTTCAACCCATTGCACACACACCCACATGTGAAACTGTATATTCCTAGAATATTTAAACCTAGGTGGAATAAACTGGTCTATTCTTTTGCACCAAAATTTTACCATTGGCTGATTAAGGT